ATAAAAATACCTGCGCAACGGGGAGCAAGCCAAGCTCTCCGATCACCCTAGCCGCGCGGGGGCCAGGCGTGGGAGGCCGGGCGCCAGGCGAGGGAAGCCGGCAGCTGGCACGAGCGTGGCGCCGACGCGGGGCCAACGGCTGGCTGCGTGTGCGTGTGTGTGCGGCCGGGGCTGTGTACGATGGAGGTTTGCCAAGTGCCCACGATCTAGCACTCGACAAAGCCAAGGTTTGCCGAGTACTAGATCATGGGCACTCGACAAACCTATTTTGTTTTTTTTATTTTTGAACCATAAACTACTATGCGTGTGTGGGACCGTGAAGCGGTTTGCCGAGTGTTCCAGGTCTAACACTCGGCAAACGTATTTTTTTTCATTTTCCTCCTTTTCCATAACGTGTTTTCCTTAATTTGTTCCAATGTACTTTGAAAATACCTTCTCAAATTCACTGGAAAAATATATATTTGATTTTTCTAGGAATATTATTTGATTATTTCATGCAGTTATAGCTCAAATTCAATCTATATCAATTAAAATCCTATAATTGTACTTAATAAATTAAAATTATCAAACGGATCCAAAAAATTACCAAAATTTCACATGAATCAATCTATGTTCTCTATTGCCTATACAAAAAGTTTTGAAGTCAAACCTCAATTCGACCATCACTTTGACTCCAAATCCTACCGAATCCTTCTCAACGCTATGATTCTTCTTCTAAGATACTTCGGTTTGTAAATATCGTACGTGATAGATTGTGCAAAACCTTCTCCATTTTTTACCGTGGCCTCCATATATGATATCATGAGATCTTGACAAATCTCATGTTTTTCAGACTTTGTTTGCTTTTTTTTAGAATTTAAAAACCATTCGGCAACACGTTTGTGGTCGTGTTTCCTAGACAAGAGGTTCGAAATTTCTTTTCATTTCCCGGGTAAGACCTCACACCGGACTCAATAACATGAATATCATTTTTCTACTCATTTTATTCTATTATTTGAATCACTTGCAGTTCAAATTTGACTTATACCAAAAAATTCCTTGAAATTCAATAAATTAATTAAATATAGCAAACAGATCTAGAAATATACCAAATCTTAACATGTAGTGTCACATGTTGTATGTGGAGAGTAGAAAAAGTTTCAAGGCCAGAAGAGAAAAAAAACTTATTATTTCATGCAGTTATAGCTAAAATTCAATCTATATCAATTAAAATCTTATAATTGCACTTAATAAATTAAAATTATCAAACAGATCTAAAAAAATACCAAAATTTCACATAAATCAATCTATGTTCTCTATTGCCTATACCAAAAGTTTTGAAGTCAAACCCTAATTCGCGTGTCACTTTGACTCGAAATCCTACCGAATCCTTCTCAACGCTACTATTCTTCTTCTGAGATACTTCGGTTTATAAACATCGTACGTGACAGATTGTGCGAAACCTTCTCAATTTTTTATCATGGCCTCCATATATGATATCATGAGATCTTGACAAATCTCATGATTTTCAGACTTCATTTGCTTTTTTTAGAATTTAAAAACCATTCGGCCACACGTTCGTGGTCGTGTTTCCTGAAGAAGATCTTCGAAATTTCTTTTCATTTCCCAGATAAGGCCTCCCATCGGACTCAATAACATAAATAACATTTTTATACTCATTTTATTCTATTATTTGAATCACTTGTAGTTCAAATTTGACTTATACCAAAAAATTCCTTGAAATTCAATAAATTAATTAAATATAGCAAACAGATCTAGAAATATACCAAATTTTAACATGGAGTACCACATGTTGTATGTGGAGAGTATAAAAAGTTTCAAGGTTAGAAGAGAAAAAAAAACTTATTATTTCATGCAGTTATAGCTCAAATTCCATCTATATCAATTAAAATCCTATAATTGCACTTAATAAATTAAAATTATCAAATGGATCCAAAAAATTATCAAAATTTCACATGAATCAATCTATGTTCTCTATTGACTATACAAAAAGTTTTGAAGTCAAATCCAAATTCGACTGTCATTTTGACTCCAAATCCTACTGAATCCTTGTCAACGCTACGATTCTTCTTCTGAGATACTTCGTTTTGTAAACATCATACGTGACAGATTATGCAAAACCTTCTTAATTTTTTACCACAGGCTCCACATATGATATCATGAGATCTTGACAAATCTCATGATTTTCAAACTTCGTTTGCTTTTTTTAGAATTTCAAAACCTTTCGGCCACACGTTCGTGGTCGTGTTTCCTGAACAAGATCTTCGAAATTTCTTTTCATTTCTTGGGTAAGGCCTCACACCAAACTCAATAACATGAATATTATTTTTCTACTCATTTTATTCTATTATTTGAATCACTTGTTGTTCAAATTTGACTTATACCAAAAAATTCCTTGAAATTCAATAAATTAATTAAATATAGCAAACAGATCTAGAAATATACCAAATCTTAACATGGAGTACCACATGTTGTATGTGGAGAGTAAAAAAAGTTTCAAGGTCAGAAGAGAAAAAACTTATTTATTTGCCGAGTGCAAAAAAAACACTCGGTAAAATTATTTCTTTGTCGAGTGCTAAAGGAAAACACTCGGCAAACTAACTTCTTTGTCGAGTGCCACTAACGGACACTCGGCAAACTCTTAACGGTAGGCACACTAACTGACGGATGTCCATGTGGCGGTTTTTTTGTTGTGTGTCTCTGTTTTGCCGAGTGTTTTTTCCTAATTTGTCGAGTGGTCTTTTTTCAGCACTCAGCAAAGAGTTTGGTATGCCGAGTGCCATTATTTTACCGAGTGTGGTTTCTGCAGCACTCGGCAAACAACTTTTTTGCCAAGTGCCTGATGGAATGCACTCGATAAATATTTTGGCACTCGACAAATCACCTGTTTCCGGTAGTGCTGGTTGCCATCTATCCAAAGAATTTGTTGTGGTCTAGATTATCTAATACTCCATCCCAAATTATAAGTTGTTCCAACTCTTTTTAGAGTCAAAGCATCTTAAGTTTGATCAAATTCTATATAATAAAATAATAATAACATTTATGATACTAAATAAGTATTATTATATATTTTTCATTAATTATATAATCATAGTATATCTATTTGATGTCATAAATCTTTATAATTCTCTCTGTAATTTTGGTTAAACTTGAGGTGTTTTTACTCTCCAAGAAAGTTGAAATAACTTATAATTTGGAATGGAGGGGAGTGGTAGTTTTCCAATTTTAAAAGAATTCCTGCCAAGATGACGGATCCAAACGTAGGTGCCTCTACATGGGCTTCGGATAACCAAATATGAACCGGTACCATAGGCACTTTGACGGCAAAAGAGGTGAAGAATTTAGGCTTTGTAATAACAAATCAACTTATGTTCTGGGGCCGAGACTTAGGTTGCTCTTGCCCAATTGAATATAAGAATGTGCACGGACAGACTGTGGAGGCACAAACCAAAACCCACGTTCACCACCACAAGAGCACACGCTGCACACGTTCACCACCATCTACTCATATTCCATCTTTCTGCCGGCACACGTTCACCACCATCTACTCGTATTCCGTTTCACCACCATCTACTCCTATCCATCTTTCTGCCGTTGGACGCAAGTCCAAACCATATCCGTTGCCTTTCGATCTTTCTGCCACCGCCATCTACTCCTATCCATCTTTCTGCCGTTGGACACAAGTCCAAACCATCCATTGCCTTTCCATCTTTCTGCCATTGCCTTTCTCCCTTTCCATCTAGTATCTTTCTGCCGTTGGACGCAAGTCCAAACCATCCGTTGCCTTTCCATCTTTCTGCCGTTTGTTGGGTCCAGAGAAAACCCAGCCCAGGAATCCAGCAAGTCTGCTTCTACATCTCGTTGCGAAACGGTCTGTCTACTACCATGGCCGTTCAACACATACATTGGTCGAGCCATTATAGGTGGGAGGACTACACTCAATTCTTATGCGTCACTGGCTATGAAGCTGAAAAGATCCTTTGAATTGCACCAGGTATACTGAGTTAGCGGTGTACTCTTGCATACTGCCGGCCGAAAATCCAGCCTTTTTCTTTTGGATCAATGTGGTAATTTATTGACCTTCTAGTCAGGTTGTGGTTTTTTTTATCATTGGTAATTATGCTTAATATAGACGTTCCAAATGGGAACCAAGAGAGGAACTGATGTAGCAAAAGGCTACTTCAGCCATTCCGAAAACGAGGTCATTTTAGTTTTATAAATACGTCAAATTTCTCTAACTTTAACCAAAAGTTTATATAAAAATACATTAGCATCTACAATACCAAATAAACACACTATTTGATGTTATAGATATTGATGTATATTATAATCTATAAATTTAGTCAAAGCAAAATAAACTTCGCTTGGGAAAACGAACTACATTTCTGAACCGAGGGAGCAAATACGGATTACTCCGTATTACCTTAAAAAAAATGAAATGACCGTACCTTCAAAAAAAAAATGAAATGACCGTACCACTCTCTTTCTTTTTCGTGCACATCAGCACATGCATGTTGATGTTACGTGCTGCATCTCATACTAAGAGCCCGTTTGGTGTGGCTCTGGGTGCTCCGGCTTCTACTCCTAAGATATTGTGCAATACTGTTTTTACTGTAGCATGACAAAAAATGGCTCCGGTTTCTCAAAAATGAACTAGAAAGAAGAGGAGCCAAAGGAGTAGCACATTTAGAGTTTCTTCCGGCTCCGCCACATTAGTGCTACAGTGCCGGAGCCGGAGCCAGGAGAAACCCCTCCAAACGGGCTCTAAGAATTTGAGGAGCAGCACTACTTACTCCCGCACCGTTGAACAGATACCGAGAAGGAAGCATACTTCGCTTGGTGCATTTGTTGTTGACAAGTGTCATTGGTCACTGTCAGTCCCTAAAATAGCGGTAACAGAACTAACAGTTAGATCCAGATTCTAACTGTCTTCCATTATATTATCTAAAAAGAGAGATTCTGGCCGTCACAGCGCTCTCAAGCTGACCACACACCACACCATGGCTCCAGCAGGCACCGCCACCGGCAGCGTTTCCGGCGGCTCATCAGCCGTACACGACGACGCCGAGGCCATGGAACTAGGCCACGACAACCTGATCCGCCGTCGCCACGCCGGAGCCGGCGCCGCTGGCGGCGAAGCCGACGACAGGATCGGCAGTAGTGCCGCCGCCGCCGGTAAGGAGTTGGCCCCGTCGTCGGTGGAGCAGGCGTTCGCGGACCAGCCCGTGCCGTCGTGGCGGGAGCAGCTGACGGTGCGCGCCTTCGTGGTCGGGGCCCTCCTCTCCGTCGTGTTCAACGTCATCCTCATGAAGATCGACCTCACCACGGGCATCAACCCGTCGCTCAACGTCTGCGCCAGCCTCCTCAGCTACTTCCTCCTCCGCACCTGGACCAGGCCGGGCCATCGGGTGCATGGGCTTGCTCAAGCAGCCCTTCATGCGCCAGGAGAACACCATGATCCAGACCTGCGTCGTCTCCGCCTACGGCATCACCTTCACTGGTACAATAAAGCCCAAACCTGCAAAGCCTGCGCTCGCTCGTCAAATTTCATTCCTGAGACAAGATCGGTGAATCACCCGGCTCAAGTTACTTTTGGCTTCCAGATTAAATCTACATTAGATCTGTGCTAGTGTAATGGTATTCACAACTTGTTGTATTTATTTTATCACCAAATGACTTATTTTTTCCGCCATAAGTGGAAAGTCAGTCCCTGGTGAGCGAGGACCTTAACACATTATTGATACCATCCACTCTGATTTCAATCATACGATCATTTACAACCAAACTACAGATTGTGTGACATGTCACTTGTTCCACCACTAATTACCGGTCCTCATCAGTTCACTGAGGTTCTGTAGCTTTGTTTTATTTTGGGCTACTTTCCACACTAGGCGATTGAAAATGGCAAAGATTTCAGTCGAGAGTGGATTTCTCACATCCCCGGCCCATCGACCACAAGACAATCAACACCGTTCACTTGCATCAAGATTCGTGCCGGATCTTTCAACACTTAGAAAACCAGTTCACCGCATTCAATCCCCCCTGTTGTCAGTCCTGTGTCACCTATGCTTGCACCCCAAAATGATTGCTGACTTTGTACAACTCAGGTAGGGCACGCTACAGAAACACATTGTATGCTTGTTGATTGCTGGTATTTCCATTATCCAATCCACAACAAATCAAAGAAACCCGCTTGAAATATAGATAAACATGGGGGGTGTTGAAGAAATTAATACTGACTGGGCTAGGCATTGTTCACTGGATCATGACCCATGCTTTTATTTTGGGATATAATCCTAAAAGAAGATTATGGATGCTATTACTGACAGTGTGAATACATGTAGATTTGACATTGCATGACAATTCCTACAATTTATATTCTTTTATACCTTCAGCATACTGAGACAAGAAACAATATAATCATTGCCAATGAAAAAATATAATTTAACAGGTGGGTTTAGCAGTTATCTGTATGGTATGAGTGGAACTATTGCTAAGAAGACAGAGGCCAATGATCCTCAGGATTGTTAAGTAATTTGCTGCTCCCCTGGACAGACGCCGAAAGGCTCTCTGCTGTTGCACCTGTACGAACGCGCGGCAGGGACAGACGATGAAAGGCTCCCTGCTGTTGCATTGTAGCTGCTGCAGGGGCTGCACTGTAGCCACAGCAGGAGCACGCGCCAAAGTCAGCCCTGCTGTCACATCTAGTCACTGTAACAGTATGACAGCCTGACATGTCTGTGCACTAGGATTAGATGGGTAGAGGTGTATATATAGTTTCCCACTGCAACTCAGTAAAGAGAGCGAGTTCAGTTTTACGATCTCCTCTGCAGAACTCCGGCCAATGTTGGTGCTTGTGCTGTGTGTGTGCGCTCTGTTCTTCCTCCCTTCTTCTACATCTAGCCATAGTGTGTGGTCGAAAACGCCGGAGAGTGGTCGGCTTACCCGTTCCGAAGATTCAGGGGCCAACAAGGATATCAAGGATCCCCTCCTCGGATGGATGATAGGGTTTATGTTTCTCGTCAGTTTTGTTGGTCTTTTTGCTCTGGTGCCTCTGAGAAAGGTAGATGCTTCACTTTCCCACTGTATTCTTCAGGGAAATTCTGCAAAACAAGATTCCATGACTATCAACTGGAGTACATGTTTTCAGGTTATGATTGTGGATTACAAACTGACTTACCCAAGTGGAACTGCTACTGCTTACCTCCTCAATGGATTCCATGCACCGCAGGATACTGAACGCGCAAAGTAGGCGACACATTAACTCTTGTAACCTGACATCATTATTAAAAATCAAGCATTGTTATTGATAAGATCATATTTTATTTCAGGAAACAGGTTAGGACGTTAGGCAAGTACTTCTCCCTTAGTTTCCTTTGGGCATTCTTGCAGTGGTTCTACAAAGCCGGGGATCACTGCGGATTTGGCTCTTTCCCAACACTCGGCCTTGAAGCTTATAAAAACAGGTCAGTATGGATGTGTCCTGGACTCTAATTCAGAAAAAAAAAAAGCTCCAAACTTACTTAGGAGTATTTATTAAGTGATTAGTTGATTACAACGTAGTCATGCATACATGCTCTAATGAGTACAATATTCAGATGCACTAACTACTATATTTGTCTTAGGAAGTGTCTGCTGGCTATTCTCGATTTTATAATCATGCTCTCCTGTGTGATTAGTCATAGTCCTATTGTTCTTAAGTACCTAAAAAATTATCATTTTGCAGGTTCTTTTTTTATTTCTCACCTACTTATATTGGTGTTGGAATGATCTGCCCTTATATTGTAAATGTGTCTCTTCTTCTTGGAGGCATCATCTCCTGGGGAATAATGTGGCCATTGATCCGCACAAAGAAAGGAAGTTGGTACCCCAAGACTCTTCCAGATAGCAGCCTACATGGACTGCAGGGTTACAGAGTAAGCTATAATTTAGTCCTACTAGCATGCAAACTTTTGCTATCTGCTGTTAGCTACTTTAGATCATCTAGGTGTGGATCCAGTGGGTGATTTCTTTATCAGTTGAATCAAATAGACCTAGAGCTTCCTTCGGCAGTAGGAGACAGAGAGAGAGGGAGATGTAGGAGCATCTGACCGTCGGAGGAGCTCCCTGCCTTCGCTGGTTCGTCGGTGAAGATCTGCGCACGGCAGCGACGGTCGGAGTAGCGGTGGAGACCGGCGGTGGTGGAGGCAGTGGCGTGGCGGCGACGGTGCTTCCCGTCACTGGATGCGCCCCTCTGTTAGATCAGAGTAGGGTTTCTAGGTGGGGCGTACGGCTCAGGCAAACCTCGTACCGAGAGCCGCCGGCCCCACCTCTATTTAATGCGCAGTGTGACGAGGCCCGCCAGCCATAGATGGACTGGGCGCCCCCGATCAGGGCGCGAGGTCAAGGCCCAAGTGGCCGTTGGGCCACTGTGGTTGGGAGATCAAACCAACATTCTCCCCCTTGATCTCAACTCATACTTTAACTTTAAACTTTGACTTTAATCCCTTTCACTTTTATTTGTTCCATCACAGATTAGTGCATAGAGAATGCTTCATCGTCACGGTCAATCGCCGATAGATTTAACAGCTACAATACACGTCTCTGTTCTGAAACAGATTCTTTAACTTTGGGCCCTTTATTGTCCGAAAATCATAGGCTATACCATAAACCCATGTTGAATGTGTGTTCTCTAAACACACTGGGTGGTAAGCTTTTTGTACATGGATCCGCAAGCACTTGCTTGTTACTTTTATGCTCATTACTTTTAGTATGATTCCGGACTTTCTCCTTCACAACGTATAACTTTAACGCCAATGTGTTTGGCATCACACTTGACCCGTTGTTATAGGAGTGAACTACTTAAATGGTTATTGCTGTTGTATACCATTATCAATTCCGGGTGTAAGTTCTTTTAACCATTTCGCCTGTCCTTTAAGCCTCATATCAAGCTATACTGTTGGTATGCATCTTTGATGACACCACAACTATTTCTTTGGAGCTTTTCCACAATAAAACTCCAACTGCGAGTGTTAGCTACTATGTGGGTTTCACTAAACATCTCGTCAAAATTTAACATTTGTACCCACAATTATTTGAGAGTACTTATTCTTTCTTACTCACCATGAGGCCTATAAATCTTTGCACAATTGCAAAACATTCTCAACTCCATTCCAGTGATCTATATCTAGACTGGACTTCTGCCAAAACATCCCGGATACATGAACTATATCAGGGTAGGTTCTTACTTATAAGCATTCATTAAGCTTCTAACAGCTGAAGCATATAGGACGTCCTTTCGATCGATCTCACATTCGTTCTTGGAACACTGAAAGTTCCGAAAACTATTACCCTTAACTATAGGAACAGGCGCAGGTATATGCTCATATATACTTTTTTTCTTTAGAATCTTCTCTAAGTATACACTTGAGATAGTTCTAATACCCCTTTTCCTTTTGTCTCGGTAAGTTCCAATTCCTGGAACGAATGACGCTTTACCAAGATCATTCTCATTGAAATTTGAGGACAAGATCTGTTTCTTCTCCAACATAGATTAACACCACTATTAGCGAGTAAGGTGCTACCCACATGCAGGATTAGGAAAATAAATTTCCTAGGTTTAAACTTTGCATAAATACAATTGTCCTCTACATTCTCTTTAAAACCCAAACTTTCTTATTGTACTGTCAAACTTCAAGTACCAATGTCTTGAAGCTTGCTTTAATTCATAAATGGATTTCTTCAGGCAATATTTCTTACATTATTTTTTTTCCACGACAAAACCTTTTGAGTTATGCCATGTAAACTTTTCCATACAAATCCCCGTTGAGGAATGTGTCTTTACATCTTTTTGATGTAACTGTAAATTATAATGTGCCACTAACACCATTATAATTCTAAAAGAATCATTGCATGCTCATTATAATCTATTCCTTCTCTTTGTGTAAATCATTTCACCACAAGTGGTGTTTTGTAGCTTTCAATATTCCCTTTTAATATCTTTCTATATTCCCTTTGGAGTCACCTTTGTCTTGTAGACCCATTACAGTCTACTGTTTTGGCTCCATTGAGAATTTCTTCTAAGTCCCAAACATCGTTGGTATTTATCGATTTCATTTCATCTTCCTTTGCTTCTTGCCATTTAGACGAGTGAACGTCTCTCATGGCTTTTCAAATGAGGTGGAATTACATTTGAATTTCTTTCTTATTCTTTGAGACCTTTTGGGGCCTTGTGGCACTTCTTTCATATGAGGCTATTGTTGCTCTTTATTGCCAAAAGGCAAATGTTCTATAGCCTTCTGTATCACAAGATCTTTGTTTACTTATTCATCTTCTTTAAGAGGTAACATCAGGTGTTGTATATGTCATACAACATCAACATGTATTAAGCAATTTGTTGCTCTAAACACTGTAGTGGATATGTAATCCCACTTATATTCAAGCTTTAGGTATCTACATACCATGCTCCCCAGATTACTCCATCTTCTATAAAGATGGTGTATCTTCAAATTTCTTATTTTGGGTTTAATCTGCTAAAAACTCATGGCGTCATCCAGTATAAATACTAGCTGACTATGCTATCTTCCTATCAGAACTATAAAAGGTCTAGGAATTTAGCTATTTCTTTACTTTAGGGGTATCATTATTATGACCGTCTTACTCCCTCAACGATCACATTCATCTTTTATAGATCACTTTTACCTTCAATGCATAGTATGCATTGCATTATCTGAAGTATGGGGAAGTATCTTTCTTAATTGTCTTTCTTAATTAATCTTACATTTCTCCCCCTCGAAATATGGTATGAACTTTTCTACCACAATTTGAAAAATATTCAGAACTCTTGTTAATGAGGAAACTTTGATTACTTACTTCATCCATATGATTACATCATACAAACAAAATTTGTATGGGAGTATATTTTTCTCATTACATTTTAAAACTCAACTTAGTCTATTATTATCAATACTTCTGCAAGTCACGCTTGCATATCATTCTTATCTTTTGGTTCACATACAACTTTCTTTTGTTCTTAAACTCATTGAGTACTTAATGACCATGACACAATCAGAGTGTACGGTCAATTCTAGGATAGCATAAGAGCTACCCCAAACTTCTTTCCAAGTGCGAAATACACTGAGAGCACATGAGTCATCATATCCTTCTCCCGCCATGCGGGATAAGTACTATGCCAAACTCTCCCGCCATGCAGGATTGGTTAACATATGTACTATGCCAACTTTACCCCACCATGCAGGTATTTTCTCAAACTTTTCCTGCCATACGGGTACTATCACAAATTTTTCCCGCCATACGAGATAATTCCCTTGAACGAGCATAATTGCCAGGATTGACTCGTGTTCAATTATCAAATTCAGAAATAAATCTGAATACTCTTTAATACACATGCTTAATCTGACATTGGTCAAATTAAACATGCATGTGACTTTTACTACTCTTATAAGTGAAACTGAAAATAAATTCTTCTTCACAGAGAGTATATAAAAGACATTTCTCAATAAAGACTCTCATTGATCTATCTCATTTCTTGGATCAATATCCTAGAATGTTTTTTTAAGCCATTCCTTAAAGAGAACACAGTCCCTTAAGCAATGGCATTCTTTCACATATAACTTGCCCTTAAGCATTTCATCATCTGAGTCATAAGTACCCAGCTCATTTCTCTTACTATCTTCAAGAATGAAAGCATGGAAGTCTTTTGTCTGAAAAAATATTCAACAATAATGTTCATTAAACTTTGAAATCTTTATGTTCTATTCTATATCACCGTTGGGCCGAAATAGAATAAAACATCATTCTTCTACATTAATTCCACATCACCGTTGGGCAGAAATAGAATTAACGTATATAAATTCAATAATCTTGAAAACATAGAACTGCTCCTCAAAATTAAATTCTCCCGTTGGTTCAAATTTAATTAGAAGACAATCAACTTCATTGCAGCGGAAACATAAAAATACATTTCTCTAGTTTAAGAGCATTCTTTGATCTTTATCTATTCTCTGAAAATTGATCACTTTGATGCAAAATTATCAGAGATTTAAACTTTAAACATAAAACTCATAGAATTATAATATTGTTATCATCAACGTTGGTTAGAAAATAACAATACCATAATTTAACTTTAAGCTTAAACTCATAAATGAACTTATAATATTGTTATCATCAACGTTGGTCAGAAAATAACAATATTATAATTCATCTTATCTATAAACCGACTATTCCTCCAATTAAAAAAAATTCTTCTCTTTGGTTCCAATTTTAACTGGAGGATAAACTTTTCATCATTTACTGAATAACTACAACTGCTCTTCAAATTAGAAGACAATAAACCTTTAACTTTGCAGCGGGACTATGAACATAATTGTTGAATTTTACTCACAGGAAAATTCTCTTTTTCAATTTTCTTTGAGCCATTTATCACTGGAAAATTAGAAAAAGAAAATAGCTTAAACTTTTACTGCACTGTGGCCCAACCATCAAAATGGCCCGGCCCAACTCGGCACGCGCGCGCAGTCACCCAGGCCGCAACGTGGGCCTAGGCCAGCAAAGCGCCGCGGCGCGCTCGCCTGCCTAGGCCGCTGAGTGGCCCGCTTCATCTCCACCGTCCGCGCTCATCCGACGGTCGCCCAGCCTCTTCGCCCGAACAAAACCCGGCGTCGCGGCCGGCAACCCTAGAACCCTAGCCTCATTTCTTTCTCCCTTTCCTTTCTTTCCACAGAACGGAGCGGCTGCGGCGGAAAGGTGGCGGTGGCCGCCGGCAACTGCGAGGAGGTGGCGCCGCCGCCTCCGCTGCGAGTCTCCAGCCGGCCAGCCGATCTATCTCCCTCCCTTTCTCCTCTGTTCTAGCGCCGCTCGTGGTCCAGCCATGGAAGGAGCAGCAGCCGTCCATGATTGCGGACTGGAGGTGCAAAGCCGGCGCCGCCGTTGGGCTTTTCGTCAGCGCGCGCGCTCGCCCGTGGCTGAGCGGGCCGCTGCCGAGTAGCCTGGCGACGATGCCCTGTCCCGCGCGACGTCCAGTGCAACGGCAGGCGGTGGTGACGGCGCAAGGGATCCCTAGGTAGGAGAAAACCCCTTCTAACCCGTCCTTTCTTTCTTGATTCGGGATCACAGTAAGGGTTAGGGTTGCGGTCTGTTCTTTCTCGATCCGATCCGGATCGGTCAATCTTTTTCTCTTTTCTTTTTCTGTCCCCGATCTAGATCTACGAACTAGACTGGGGATTTTAGGGTTAGGGTTTGGTGAAATTTCGAATCGATTTGTATCACCTTCTTTTTCTCTTTTCTTTCTATTTCTTTCCCCGAAATCTGGTCACGGGTTTAGGGTTCGGATCAAGCGGTCTTGAAGCCGAGCCCCTTCCGTCTTCACCCAGTTAGGGTTTGAGACTGTTCTTTTTCTTCCCCACGCGCTTCTTCGTAGGGTTAGGGTTCGGCTGACCCCTTCTCTGTCTAGATCCGAACGTATCTAGTCTATCTTTTCTTTTCTAATCGGTTTCTTGCCCCTGACAAGATCCACACACTAGATCGGTAGCTCTGATACCATTGTTAGCTACTTTAGATCATCTAGGTGTGGATCCGGTGGGTGATTTCTTTATCAGTTGAATCAAATAGACCTAGAGCTTCCTTCGGCAGTAGGAGACAGAGAGGGAGAGGGAGATGTAGGAGCATCTGACCGTCGGAGGAGCTCCCTGCCTTCGCTGGTTCGTCGGTGAAGATCTACGCACGGCAGCGACGGTCGGAGTAGCGGTGGAGACCGACGGTGGTGGAGGCAGTGGCGTGGCGGCGGCGGCGCTTCCCGTCACTGGCTGCGCCCCTCTGTTAGATCGGAGTAGAGTTTCTAGGTGGGGCGTACGGATCAGGCGAACCTCGTACCGATAGCCGCCGGCCCCACCTCTATTTAATGCGCAGTGTGACGGGGGCCACCAGCCATAGATGGATTGGGCGCCCCCGATCAGGGCGTGAGGTCAAAGCCCAAGTGGCCGTTGGGTCACTGTGGTTGGGAGATCAAACCAACATCTGCAGCCAATGTATTACCCAGAACTGAGAACATAACACTGCAGGTGTTTATAACCATAGCAGTAATCCTTGGGGATGGCCTGTACAACATATTGAAGCTACTTTATCGCACAATAGAAGCATTCATATCAAGGTACAGGAATAGAAATACAAACACGCTTCCTGTGTCCAACGATGGCACCCCTGCTAATGCCACCGAAACTGAGTCGTTCGATGACAAGCGTCGTTTTGAGCTATTCATGAAGGATCAAATTCCCAAGACAGTTGCATTGGGAGGCTATGTCGTTCTGGCAGCTATAACAATCGGTTGTCTCCCTCTCATAATCCCACAGCTCAAATGGTACCATATTTTGGCTGCGTACATCGTTGCACCTGCACTGGCCTTCTGCAATGCCTATGGATGTGGCCTAACAAATTGGTCCTTCGCAAGTGCCTATGGTAAACTTGCAATCTTTAGCTTCGGTGCGTGGGTAGGTGCTTCACATAGTGGTGTGCTTGTGGGACTGGCTGCATGTGGTGTGATGATGAGCATTGTGGGAACAGCTGCTGATCTAATGCAAGACTTCAAGACTGGGTACCTGACACTGGCCTCGCCAAGGTCCATGTTCATAAGCCAAGTGATAGGCACTGCCATGGGCTGTGTTATTGCCCCCTGCGTCTTCTGGCTGTTTTACAAGTCATTTGATGTTGGAGCGAGCGATGGCGCTTACCCAGCACCTTACACATATATGTACCGTAACATGGCGATCATGGGCGTTGATGGATTGACTCTTTCAAAGCATTGCTTCACATTATGCTACATCTTCTTTGCGATCTCCTTCGCTGTCAATTTGATCAAGGACCTGGTGCCGAAGAAGGTAGCGAAGTTCATCCCCATCCCCATGGCAGTAGCCATTCCTTTCTATGTTGGAGGCTTGGATCCTTCTTTACTATTGATATGTTCTTGGGCTGTATGATACTCTTCATCTGGGAAAGGAAGAATAAAGCTGAAGCAGACTCGTTCGGACCAGCAGTTGCATCAGGCTTCATGTGTGGCGACGGGCTCTGGGCACTACCCGAGGCTATTCTTTCTCTTGCAAATGTGAAACCTCCCATTTGCATGAAGTTTTTGTCAAGGTCTGTTAATGCCAAAGTGGACTCTTTCCTTGGGACTAGTGGGTGCTAGTTTGATAGTAGAATAGAATTTTTTTGTTTCTTTCATAGTTGAGTGGTTAAATAATTCTGTAAATTTGTGGAGTCTCATTGGGCAGTGGTCATAGCTTTTTAGTAGTGACTAATGAAGAACAATTAGAGAAGTTGCCTGATTTCCTTAGTGCTGCAATTGTCCGGTTGCTATATCTAGAATTTAATTTTCGTGGTCCAGAATATCTCTAGTGAATCAAGAATTCAAGATTGCAAATCTGCTTGGTGTTAGTACTGCACAGTCGACAAATCATGTGATTCTGTGAGGCAAGACTTCTTCTTCTTTGCTATAACTATAAGCCAGGTCTGCAGGTATGGTCGAATCTGATAAGTTCAGACTTCTGAAGGAATAATTGGGCGTTTTGGCCTTTTGGGGCTGAGTCTTAAACAGGAACAGCCATCATGTTCACATATGCCCAGCCTCGTGCACGGACAAGTCTGCAGCAAATGACCTGAAGGGATTAGGATTACGAGCTCGCTGTAATCCTCGCCCTGTCTTCTCGGTTCCTCAGCTGCCTGTTGTTGCTTGTGTCCGACACCAAGTGCCGCAGCATTTTTCTTCACGTAGTCATGGTTTCGCATTTCCCGATACATGGCTCGCCGAAACCATTGGATGCCTGCGGCCGGCTAACAAAGCTTCAGGCTTCAGCTGTCCAGATTCCTGAAATTACGCACGAAAGGCGTCAGCGACAGCAGCCGACAGCGATGCGCTAAATAGGACAAGAACGCAGTACATTTTTCTTGCTATAACCAGGCTTCCAAGGCTCCAGATTTGTTTGGGACAGGCTTACGTGGAGTATATAATGTTGGTGAGTGGTTTGAATGTGTGATGACTGCCTAGTGTGTATTGCAGGAGACTGCCTAATCTGAACTTCTGAAGGTCAGTCCATCGGTTCCGTTCGCAGCTGAGTGGAAATCGTCAGACCATGGCGTCCGCCCACGAGCAGGTGAAAGGTGACGCCGCCGCCGGTGCAGTCACCAGCGTCGCGGACGTGAGCGAGCTCAGGCAGAGGAGCAAAGCCCACAACAAGCCTGGCACGGATGCCGAGGACAACGAGGCGGGGAGGAGCGCGGCGGGGGGCTGCGAGGTCACGGACTCCATCGAGCGGGTGTTCGAGTCGGAGACGGTGCCGCCGTGGCGGGAGCAGGTGACGCTGCGGGCCCTGATGACGAGCCTCTTCCTGGCCGTCCTGTTCAGCGTCATCGTCATGAAGCTCAGCCTCACCACGGGCATCATCCCCTCGCTCAACGTCTCCGCCGGCCTGCTCGGCTTCTTTCTCCTCCGAGTCTGGACGGCGGGCGTCAAGGACCCGAAGCGGCCGTTCACCCGCCAGGAGAACACCGTCGTCCAGACCTGCGTCGTCGCCGCCTACGGCATCGCCTTCAGCGGTACGATCGATGCGCCGCCAGCTGATGTGCTCCCTGTTCAAAGCTCACCTTGAAATCTGACTTTGACTCGTCCGCCGCCACTGCTGGGGTCAGGTGGCTTTGGGAGCTACCTGTTTGGCATGAGCGAGACGATCGCCAGCCAGGCAGCCGAAGAAAACAATGCGGACAACGTGAAGGAACCCAGGCTGGCGTGGATGATCGGCTTCCTGTTCCTCGTTAGCTTCGTGGGCCTATTAGCTCTCGTCCCCCTCAGAAAGGTGCCTGTGGATTGTGATCGCTCCTCCTTTTTTGTCACAGAAGACTGAAACTGACAAGGCACTGGGATTTGCTTTTCAGGTTATGATCATAGATTACAGGCTCACGTATCCGAGCGGCACCGCGACCGCTCACCTCATCAACGGTTTTCACACACCGGATGGCTCTGAACGCGCCAAGTAAATACTATGCTTGTGCACTGATCTGATCGATTGCAGTCATCACCATGTAACATCCGTGATCATCATATATTGCAGGAGCCAAGTGCGAACGCTGATCAAGTGCTCCGCGGCCAGCTTCCTCTGGGGCTTCTTCCAGTGGTTCTACACGGCCGGGGACGACTGCGGATTCGGACATTTCCCTGCACTAGGCCTGGTTGCCTATCAGAACAGGTATCTGAACCCGTCCCTGTCTCCCCCGCCCCCCCCCCCCTTCTTTTCTTCTTTCTGAAACCAGCAACCAGCCCCTGTCTGCAGTTCCTAACTTCCTATAATGCTTCAGCTGCCTGCTACGTGAAAACTATTCAATGTCTTTGCTGTTGCGTTGTTGCCAGGTTCTACTTCGATTTCTCGACGACTTACATCGGCGCAGGAATGATCTGCCCGCACATCGTGAACGTCTCTGTCCTTCTTGGAGGAATCCTCTCGTGGGGAGTTCTCTGGCCTCTGATAGCCGAGAAAAGAGGGAGCTGGTTTGATGCAAAACTTGCAGACACCTCACTTGAAGGAATGCAAGGCTATCGGGTACTTTGCCATCTTCTGTTGAATGTTTCCTGATTCCTGTTCCAGATCTTGTCAAAAACGCAACGGTAACTGCAATTCAGGGTGAGGCTTCAATCTGATTTCAGCCAAGCAATCTGAACTGTGCTGCAGGTGTTCATCGCCATCGCCATCATTCTCGGAGACGGCCTATACAAGTTCGCCACGGTGCTCATTCGCACCGTCGCCTCGATAGCGGCGTCAACCGAGAAGAAGAAACTCTTCGGTGCGCTCCCCGTGAACAGTGACGACAGCAACGGCGCCAATCCCGCGACGGCGACGCCACCCTCGTTCGACGACGCTCGCAGGACCGACTTCTTCACCAAGGACCAGATCCCAATGCCGGTCGCGATCGGCGGGTACGTGGCCATCGCCGCCATCTCCGTCACCACCGTGCCTCGCCTCATCTTCCCGCAGCTGGAGTGGTACCACGTCCTGGCGGTGTACCTGATGGCGCCCGTGCTCGCCTTCTGCAACGCCTACGGGATGGGCCTCACGGACTGGTCGCTCGCGTCCACGTACGGCAAGCTCGCCATCTTCACCTTCGGCGCGTGGGCCGGCAAGTCCCACAGCGGCGTCCTGGTGGGGCTCGCCACCTGCGGCATCATGATGAACATCGTGTCCACCGCCGCGGACCTGATGCAGGACTTCAAGACCGGGTACATGACGCTGGCCTCGCCGCGGTCCATGTTCGTCAGCCAGGTGGTCGGCACCGCCATGGGCTGCGTCGTCGGGCCCAGCGTCTTCTGGCTCTTCTACCGCGCGTTCGCCGGCGTGGGCACGCACAAGAGCGCGTACCCGGCGCCCTACGCGCTCATCTACCGCAACATGGCGATCCTCGGCGTCGACGGCTTCTCCAAGCTCCCCGGGAACTGCCTCACGCTCTGCTGCGTCTTCTTCGTCGGCGCCATCGCCGTCAACATGGCCAAGGACATGGCTCCGGAGAAGGTGGCCAAGTTCATACCGCTCCCCATGGCGATGGCCATCCCGTTTTACATTGGCCCGTACTTCGCCATCGACATGTTCCTGGGGAGCGTGATACTCTTCGCGTGGGAATGGGTGGACAAGGATCGGGCAAACGCGTTCGCCTATGCCGTCGCGTCCGGCTTGATCTGCGGCGACGGAGTGTGGTCTCTGCCGCAGGCGCTGCTGTCTCTATTCAACGTGAAGCCGCCCATATGCATGAAGTTCCTATCGAGGAATTTGAACGACAAAGTGGATGATTTCATTGGAACTTTGTCGTAGAGAACTCAAGGAAGAACAAGCTTGAATAGTTATGACGGTGAACTACTTCTAGCAGTTGAAAGGAAACTGAATGCATTATGCATGATTAGTGCCTTTGTGCCAACAAGAAATGTTTTATACTTAACTCTAAAAAGAAGAAATGCTTTATACAAAGAGTCAAACAGTAGTTATCTTCACACACATTTATTCTCTGATGATATGCTTATACTGTATGACCCTGTCCCTGGGCATGCAGTCGCATATACCAATATGGCAATATACCATTCAGATAAGATGGCCAATCCTCTCTCTTTAAAAAAAAAAAAAAAAAAAAAAAAAAGAGAGAGAGAGACAGCCAAGGAGTTACAAACCACCAACCTTTCATCATGGTTGAACAATTTGTCGCCACTTCCATTCCAGCATCATGATACAGCATTATTCTCTCTATATGCAGTATTGGCAGTTGACTGATGCATAGTAAGTAATTCACTTAGGCGCTTTATCCAGGGTTTTCTTCAGATCAAGAAGTTTTGACCACCTTTGGCTGGAAGTCTTCTTCCTCTGGCTACCACCATCTGCAGAATTAGAGGATCATGACAAAGATCTGTACACTACTGATTGAAATTAAGTGCAGTTAATTGTAGCAAGTGCATACATTGCCATATAACTGTAGACTTTTCGCAGGTCTCCGAACATGAACTCTGCATGTGATGTCCGCATATTAATCAGTAACGTCACTGACCAACCTAGCATGCAGGCTGTAATCAGGACCGGTGTTTCACCTTAGCGGATGCAGTTAATCGTACGGTCTCTTGGATTACCGAGTCAAGATCGACTTCGTCTCCTGGTCTGACATAGATGACCTGTTTAAAGTGGAGATAAGTTGGAACTGACGTAAGTGTTGCTTCAGAAATTTGAACAGAAATCTCAGCGCTGCTAGTTCCAAACTCATACCGATGGATCAGTGTCACCGAGATCAGGCAACCCACTCTGATCTCTCCTGGTTGAAGACAGAACCGTGAGATTGAAGTGTTCATCGATCTGCAGTGCAAGAGCATGTCATCAGTTGTCTGAAATAATTGAGTGCCTCTGCATATGTGCAGGACCTGAAATAAGATTTGATTACAGGTCTTAGACAAGTGTCGAGGTTGATGCCTCGGTATATTTCATGCTATAATTGATGGTATCTCCCCAAGGATGGTAAAGGAGCTCATTTCGAATAGTATCATAGAACGGAGAAGATTTTGAGTGAGAGAACAATACATTTGTGCAGTACGGCAAGGAGCAGGAATCGCATATTTTTCTGAAGGATGTGAGGACTCGCCCTTTTATCGACATCCCAAACTGAGTATGCTGAAAACAAATCACACGAATATCAGTTCCTCGCCTCCGAACCTATCTATCTACTTGTACTTGATCTAAATCACCTCATGTTCTTCAGACCCATCATTAACTTATAAATGCACGGGCACACTCATCATTCATTCTGTTGCTGTAACCCAGGCAATTACCTGCTGTACCAGAAGGTGCACGAGTACATCAGCATCCCTCTGCCCGTCCTCGGTCAGATCGTCTAGATGCAGCTGCCGCAACGTCAGCTCGATGTCGCTGCTCCACTGATCACCTCCGCCGCACGACGTTCCGACGGAGACCAGGCTCTGCTGCGCGCCACCGGTTCCCCTCCGGCGGGTCCTCCGGAGGCTCTGAATCGAGACAAGCGGCACCGCGAATTGAATGAGCTTCCACGGATCACCCAAACAAATCATCGTGAACACTGCGCTCTGTACCTGTGTGACTTGCACTTTCTTCAGTGGCTCGCTCGAGTAAGCGTTGTCTTCAGTGGAAAGCTGCGCGTGAACGGCGAGGCTTCTGCATCTGGCGCGGCTTCCGCTGCTTGCCAGCTGCGTGGTGACGGAATTCGGCAGCAGTCTCAGCGCGCGGTTGCAAGCTCTCGCCATGATATCGGAATTTGCCGTGCAGTGCAGCGGAGCCTGGTCCAGGCTGCTGTGGCGCTGAAGCCTTGAAGATACTACTGTTACCTTATGAGCTTATCGTTTGCTCCACCGTGGCGTAAGTGACACGTGGCACTTGTTTGAACAGAACACATGTGCATCACCGTATAGATACTTCTGCAGTGCTGTGACCTGTGAATGAGTCTCGCTACAAATTCAATTTCATCTACACAAACGTAGTGCAATTTGCTCTCTCGTGTTTCCATGTGATGATTACTAAATTATACAAGCGTTGTACTCTGTTTAAAAAGTATAGGTCATGTTCGCTTATGCTGAAATTTGGCTTATGCTGATACTTATGTTGAAATGTTGTGAGAGAAAAACATTGTTTCATGGTTGAAAAGTAGCTCAAGCGAACAGGGCCATAATTCTCACTTTTTGAGGACTTAAATGTTTTGATATTTGATCAAATTAATTATGGAATATGTTTTCATAATAAATTTAGTTGAAGATATAAATTTTAATGCTATTCACTATAAAATTGATCAAACTTAAACTAATTTGACTTGTATAAATACTATTGTATTTCTTTTGGGAGGGTGGGAGTACGTGTTAATCCTAAGTTTGCACGAGATGCATATCGGGAACTACCGAGATTATTCGTCTTAATGTGGTTTCATCATAGAATTATAACCTGATTTAGATAATTTAGGCTCACACTATGATTCTATCTACTAGTACTATTATCATGAAAAGGAGGGTCCCCACTCTAACCGATGTGGCCACATTGCCGAAGGCGGAGACGGAGGGATGTTGTATAGCATCTCCAATAATTTCAAAAAACAGTAGGGTAAATCAATGAGTTTTTGCATGTAGCCAAAAAATTGGGAACATATCTGTTGAGTTTCTTCAGCATTTCCAAAATCTCGTTCTAAAATATAGAACACAATTTAAGTAATCCTACTATTTCTAAGTTACCACAACCACTTACATATTTTTTTTTCTCTTGTATATTTGTATTGGGGACCCTATTCTTACTATTTATTCTCCCCCTATGTGTAATCCACCTCCATATTGGCCGATTAATACCGCGCGTATATTTTCACACAATTAGATTGATTTCCCCATGTGTTGGGAGTTGAGTTAAGGCATTGTTGGAGAGCGTTTTTTCCATTCCTGCTAAAAATCAAAACTGAGAGTGGGTCTTGAAAACTCTTGGAGATGCTCTTACCGGATGGATGGCGAGGAATTCCAATTGTCGCTCTCATCTCTTATCTTAGTATTTGGCCAAAAAAGTCTCCATATTAATTCTCAAAGTCTAGAAATCACCATATTAATCAGAGAAAATAAAATCAAAGTGGCACTCTACATGTTGACAAGTTACCCACCACTGCTATTACGCAAAAAATATTCACCTGTAAATACCCTTGTATCTATTTCTCTCTTACCAACCCACGCCATTATATAAAAAAAATATCTTCCTTATGTTGATAAGTCAATGAACCTTTGCGTTTAAAGGAAGATTACTTAATATTTGTCTTGGGGGAAAAGAAAATTCAAAGGTGCACTTTAAATTATCTTTCGGTATCAAATAGTATAATATAAAAAATAAGAATAGTTCAATACTAGAGTTTTAAAAAATAACATAGAAAATTTTAAAATGTATGACCCAAAAACGTCAACTACGTTACTCCCTCTATCCCTAAATAAATAGATTCCTGGAGTTGTCTTAAGTCAAACTTTTTAAACTTTGACCGAATTTGTAGAAAAAAAAAACATCAAGATTTATGATATCAAACTAGTATCATTAGATGTACCATAGAATATATTTTCACAATATACTCATTTTATGTCATAGATGTTGTTACTCTTTTCTATAAAGTTAGTCAAACTTAAAAAAGTTTGACTGGCATGGATTCTAGAAATTGATTTATTTGGGGACAGAGGGAGTAGTATGGAAGGCAAAATATGTAAAGCTAATACTAAAACTTTGATATCAGCCAATGAAAAAGAATGTTGACGATGCCATTAATATGCAGATGTGCTAAGTGAATGTACAAGAGGATAAGAGTTATTTCCTCTGTCCCTAAATAACTGTCGTTTTCACTTTTCGATGAACAACTTTGACTAAATATATATAAAATAATGTTAATATTTATAGTATAAAATTAATATCATTAGATAGATCGTTAAATATATTTTCATAATAAATTTATTTGTAGATACAAATGTTGCACGTATTTTCTATAAATTTAGTCAAACTTAGAGCACAGAAAAAAAAAACGACAATTATTTAGAACAGAACGAGCTCTACTTCCGGTGACAATAAAGGGCGCGTTTGATTTCTTTACTTGGAGCTGTGTTGCCTCGATGGGAGAGGCTTCAGAGTGAGACCATGTGTTTGGTTTTGTTGTCTGGTCGTATTGGGGTTTGTGCTGGCCAGAATTGGCTCGCTTGTGTGAGAGAGGGAAAACGGCTCGCCCGGCCAAGCGAGTTTCTCATGGCGCGTGCCAGCACAACAAAGCAAGGCCATGTTTAGTTGCCCCAAATTCTAGAATTTGGCACTATGCAAAAAGAAGATTCTCCGTCACATCAAACTTGCGGTACATGCATGAAGTACTAAATATTGACGAAATCAAAAACTAATTGCACAGTTTGGTTGTACTTTGCGAGACGAACGTTTTGAGTCTAATTAGTCAACGATGGGACAATTATTACCAAATAAAAACAAAATGCTACAGTACGCAACCGTGTCACTACAGTACCTAGGATTCCGGCGTCGCCGAATCCGGGGACGAACTAAACGCGGCCCAAGGCAAGGCGAGCTGACGCCTCGAACCAAGCGTCCCCAAACACTCTTGAAGCCATTAACATTAGAGTAGGACATGAGGGTAAAAGAGTATAAGTTAAATTGCATATGTAAACCACGCAATTGCATTGATCCCTCACTAGTTTTTTTTTCAAATAAAAAAAGAGAGAAATGATTAATTATTCTACGAAAAAGTACCCCGATATTTGTTTGCCGGGCCACTAAGGATGCCTAGCTGAATTTACACACAGGTTGGTACCGGATGGCCCAGCCCAACAAACCAACAGGGCACGCGGGGCCGGGCCTTCATCTCAAGTCTAATCTGGAGCAGCAATCAGCCAACCACGGCAGCCAAGTCGCGTCACTCAAACGGTCGAAGCCAGATCGGGTCATGATACTGTACTGTACGTCTAGATTCGGATTCCTGACCGCTCGTGGCGTCCGGCCCCGATCCTGCCAACTGATGGGCAGATTTGGCTTGTGGCCGTGCGTCGCTGCGAGTGCGAGCACATGGAAAACACCCGGCCCGGCCGGCACCCAGCAACCCTTCCGTCGCGTCACTGCGTCAGCGCAGCTGGTGCTGGTCGCATCGCCATCCTAGCCTGCCGCCTGCACCACCGGACGTCGTCGCTGCTTTTGGCGCCCGGGTGCTCCTCGATCAGAAATTCATCAGAACTCAGAAGTGCAAGTGCCCTCTCATCAATAGTTAACTTTTCACTTTTCGGCCTTCATGAACAGCCCGCTCCGGCCACGCTTTTGGCAGCCGCTTGGACGCATCGGATCAATGGATCATCGTCGTCGTCATCTGCAAACCGTGGTGATGGTCTGATGGATGATTTAATTTGCTACTCACAAAAAGGCAGAAAACGCGCGTGCGGAAACACGTTGCTCGATCGCGACGCTCAGTTCCAATCCAGCCACGTTGGAACGCCTGCTGCATGCTGCGGTCCTATTCTGCCCGCACTGCCGAGCACTCCTGTAGTTTCCACGGCCGGTTCTTCTAACTTTGGTGCGCGGAAGAGTGGAAATGCACCTTCCGACCATCGGCGGCCGAACGAAGTTGCTGTCGCCTGTCGGGGTCGGGGAGATGTGCCGCTTGGGTGCATGCATTATGTGCATGTGAACCCACTTCCGGCGACGCACGTTGCAGGAACCCAGTTAAGATATCCTACTCTGGCTTTGGAGGAAGCGAACGGAGAGTTTGCATTGGCTCGTGTTCATTAGGGACGGACAGTGCCATCGCTTGGTGGCTGGTGCCGAGTGCCGTTCAGAAAGTAGCTTTTGTTTTTCTTTTCCCTGTACTTATCGCACGTGCCTTCTAGGTTGACATGTACTTGATGGCGCTTCATAACCTGTGAGGCTGTAACAAAGTGTTACGTTGCATGCTCTAGCGAATGGCGCATGCGCTCTCGTCTTTCGCTGACGACTGCCAACTGCCAACACTCCTGTAGCGTAGTGGGTTCTCCGGTTAAGGGAGATATATCAATCGAGATTTAATAATGCTGGTGGCACTGAAAAATCTCTTCGGCAGCGAACCAATAAAATAGCGGCAAAGAGCCGTTGTATAGAGACGTTTGTTCCTTGTCAGACTGTCTCCAACAATGAGAACCTAAACACAACATTTATTCTCTAGTTTGGGTCATGCACAGGAAAAAGGGTCCACACCTAAAATTTAGCTTCTTCTAACGACCAACGCAAATCACTCCCCCGTCATCTACAGTACACCGGTAAAAATATCTCCTCCTCTTCCTCTCCCCCCCCCTCGTCACTTCTCTTCCCCTCCCTCCCTCTTCCTCCCGATCTCCCGAAATGGACAGGGGTGGTGGCGTGGCGCACCTCGGCGGTGACCCGGACTGGCTCGGCCATGGTGGCGATGGGCCCCTCCCCTCGCCTGGCGCTTCTCTCTGGGCCCTCGACCTCCCTCCTCCGCCTCCTCTCGGTCTCTTCCTTGCCCTCTCCTCTCTCTCTCTCGCTCCTCTCGACCGCTTAATCCTCCTCTCCCTCTCTCTCTCTCTCTCTCGCCTCGCGTCTCTCTCTCTCTCTCTCTCTCTCTCTCTCTCGCCTCTCGCTCTCTCGCCGCGTCCCGGCGTCCTCCGACCCGCCTCGGCTGCGCGCTGGCTCCGTGTGCTACGCCCCCCCCGCACGTCAGGTGGCTGGCCCGTCAGATCCCCGCCTGGGCGGGCGACCCAGACGGACGCCGGCCTACGGGGTTTCGACGGCGCAAAGATTTGGGTCTCCGATGTAAATCGCTCGGCTGTAGGTGCTCCCTTTGCCTATCCCATGGCGTGAAACCGAACCGAAATGACGGGGCATTAAAATGGGTTTGGGTAGCGGGGCTTGGAGTGGGTGATGCCATGTCTGTTTTTCGTTTTCGTTTCGCCGCTTCGGTACTCGAACCGGTCATCGGCTTCGTTTGGTTTTAGCTCAAACCGAACCGTAAACCGAAGCTCATCAATCGAGGCGGATCCACCGAAGAACGCTCGAGTGGCGGCTCCCTCACCTCAACATCCCCCATCGCCAAGCAAAGCCATGAAGGCCCACAGTCCACCTCCTCCGGTCCTCCACCACCACACCACCACCCCGCACCCACACACGAACCCTAACCTACCTCGCGGCATGGCTGGGTGGCGTGGCCTCAAGCTCGATCGCGCAGCAAGCCGCGGGCCGGCGCCACCTGCATCCGGTTGTCGGCCCAAAGATGTGCGTGGCGCCACACGGGGGGGTGTGTACGACTACGAAGGATTTGGGTCAAGGAGAGAGAGAGCGAGCGATGAAAGAGGACGAGCGGGATCGGAGGACGCCTCTCTCCTTCTACCCAAAATAGGTGCTCCTTTGCCTATGGCGGGTGGGTGGTGGATGGCGGTTTTTCCTTGTGCGTGCGTCATGGCGGACGAAAAATGGGTTTGGGTAAAGCGGTATGCATGGCTTGTTCTCAAAGATCGGTTTCAACCTTTGTCTTGCTTGTGATTACAGAACAACTGTCACGGTTCCAACCGAGTGTGAGAACAACTGTATTGAGTTTGGAATTGAAACAATTGGAGGGAATTCTGGGAGTTTTCTAGGCGGCTACGGTTGAGAATTTCTTCTTAAAATCTTTATAATTTTGCTATATCATGCCCGGGTAATAAAAAAGTCCCTCTAACACCTAAGCATGTTATAATAAATTTTTTTATGCAGGATATTTTTGTTTAAGAAATTAAAAAAATCAGGCATGCTATTTTAGAGGATCATATTGGTTATGGTTCAAGGCACTGCTAGTGTGAAAATTAAAGAGAGAAGTTTCGATTGGCAAACAAAGCGTTGGAGGTTATGCCGGTTATCACTTTTAGATGTGTTTGCCAAGAATGGATGGCAAAGTAATAATATACTTTGATTTTCTACTATTTGAGTGCACTGTTTTTATTTGTTTCTGTTAACAAATAAGCTAATAATTGTATGTGGTTGCAGAGACCGGAATTTTTTTTTTTGGATGTTTTAGAGGAGTCCTACACCTAGATTAAAGGTGTTGTGAGAATCGGGTGAAATATTCATTCTCCACAACTGAAATTTTAGTTACATCAATTTTCCTAGGAACCACACTAAAATAGTCACAATAACTCTAGTACAAGTCAATTTTAGTTTATTCCTTCCTATATACACATGCTTTACTCCCTTGATGCATGCTACTCCCTCCGTTTCAAATTATAAGTCGCTTTGACTTTTTTTGTTTCATCAATTTTGCTATGTATCTAAATATATTATTATATCTAGATGCATAGTAAAATAAAATTAAAATAACTTATAATTTGGAACGGATGGAGTATTTTGGAAGAAGAAAGGGGAAAGCAGTTGTGGGTGGGTGGGTGGGTGGGGGGGGGGGATAAGGTGTGGGGAGAATATTTTCACCCAATCTCTGAACCAATACCGTGGAACGATGATTCTCCTGCCGGCCGAGTTATTTTTTTCCGCTGATGACTGAAATTGTGCGATGCTCAAGGAACGTACAAAGTTGTAAAGTTGTCATGAATCATAATCCCTTGTCTAGAGCTAGATTCCGCCATTAATTCGGGCATAGTAGATCGTTTTATTTGCTAGCATGGATCAAAACCATTTTAGTCGTGAAGAGAAAAGAAAAAGGAAGAAGATAATGTACATGTACATGGCGACGGTACCAATACAATCGCTACAAGCCTACAACACGCTGTATAGTTGCACCAACAGCGGGTGATCTCTCGTGATCTCGTCCACGAACGAGCTGACGTTCCGGTCGGCGGCGCGCCTGGCCTCCACCGTCACGACGCGGTCCCGCAGCGCCCAGACCTTCTCCTGCAGGCGCCGGCCCTCGTCGCCGTCGTCCATGACCCTCCCGATGCCGGCCCCGACGTCGTCGCGGCTCATGCCGCCGTCGAGCCTGAGCCCGATCTGCCACACCCCGGTGATGTAGGCGCAGTTGATGAATTGGTCCCCGGAGACCGGGTAGCAGAGCAGGCGCACCCCGTGCTGGATGGCCTCCAGCGTGGAGTTCCAGCCGCAGTGGGTGAGGTAGCACCCCACGGCGGCGTGGCGGAGCACGTCCTGCTGCGGCGCCCAGTCCACGAGCTTGCCCCGGCCCGCCACGCGGTCCTCGAACCCGTCGGGGAGCCCCGCGCGCCAGGACGCGTCGCGCTTGAGCGCCCACAGGAACGGGCGGCCCGTGGCCTCGAGCCCCAGCGCCAGCTCGCGGACCTTGTCTGGGCCGATCGACCCCACCCAGCTGCCGAACGAGACGTACACCACCGACCCGGCGCGCTGCGCGTCCAGCCACCCGATGCACGTCGAGTCCGCGCGCCACATGCTGGGGTTCTTGCCGCACTGCTGCTGCTGCTTCGTGCGCTCGCCGGCGCCGCCCGGTAGCAGCACCGGGCCGATGGGGAGGACACGCGGGCCCTGCCGCGCGAGGCGGTGCGCATCGTCGTCGTTCTCGTTGCCAGCGGCTGCAGCTGGACACCCGGCCTCGGCCGGGAAGGAGTTGACGAGCACCCAGCGGAAGCCCCGGGCGCGGTGCAAGGTCTGGAGCCAGAAGGCGAACCTGGACCTCCGAGTGGCCGAGTCGCCGACGAGCCACGGCAGCTCCTCGACACGGAGCTCCACCTGCGCCGGCAGGATCTCGAGGCCCCGGATCGTCGCCGTCCAGCCGTCGTCCTGAACGACCTGTTGTTCATCGCCGTCGGACGACTCAACAGCCGACGAGATCGGTGTACCTTCACGTCAGGAAAAAAAGAAAGGCAGCCAGCAGTTAGTGCATGATGGTAACTGGAGTATGCAAGATTCCTGTCCTAGGTTCCATGTGGCCAAGTACGCGTCCGTATGCGTGCGCTACGCGACGGCGCACTTTGATCGCGACGATCCCCGCGCGCGTGTCGCGAGGCACCAGCGACGCACGGCCGCGAACGCACGGCTGGGAGCTATCACTCGTCACATCAGCCGCTACCGATAGTGAGTGAGTGGCAGCTCGATTATTCGATCAGCCGACCGACGGAGCTGCTGCCGTTCTGGGCCAAACGGAATATGGGGAGGACCACTCACTACGGGCCATCTTTGTCGTCTTCCGTCCGTCCGTCGCCGTCCAGATGCACAAAGCACAACTGCACTTCCCGGGTGCACAAAACACTGTACCATTATACTACTGGTACAGGAAGAACTCCCCACATGGGGAAATTTTTACGTCGTGCAGTGCAGTGCCCAGGACCACTTTTATTTGCTGGAACTGCTCGTGCCACGGCTGACTCCGATCAGTTTAGTTTGCTTTCAGCATCAAGGCCACCTAAGCACCAAGAACTGACTGAGCCACGCCTCCAAAAGGATCCGTGAAGACATTTGTCATTTTTTTTTCAGATTCAGAAAAGATAAACATGACTCCCGAATTATTTCCTCGTTATCCACTCTGGATCCACGTGCAGATGTACGAAAACTGCAGCAGCGCTCCTGCCACATCGTGCCGGAACAGACCGGGGACTTTTCAAAAAGGAGGAGGAGAAAAAAAAAGGTACTCCTACTGTAAGGTAGAGGTAGGAGCACATCACGTGTCGTCTAGTGCCCGATGGGAGAAGTCAACTTTATCGCGAGATGTGATCCTGCTGGGCCAAAACTGAGCCGGAGAGGCAGGCGAGGCGCACCTCAAAAATGGTGAGAACGAACGTGGGTCTGCCCCAGCCAGGCAAGGAGATCCGGAGATGGCGAGGCGCATCATGATTCATGCATGGATCTGATCCCATCCAGAGCATGCAGTCAGTGGTTGGATGGAGAGTGGAGACCGCGGGCCCGCAGGCAGGGGAAGGAAGGACCCAAGGCCCGGTCTGCTCTCCCCCGGGCTCATCGGCTCCGCTGTCGATCGCAACGTTCAGCTCAAGGAACAAGGGACCAGCAGTTGCACACATAAGTCATATGTATGAAGGTACTGAGTGATTAGGTGACGCAGCTGGCAGAAACATTATAAGATGTACGACTGCCACACTTCTATTGTCACGTCCTCCAATTGGACGTACCAACACTCAACATTGGTTAATACAGAAAAAAAATCTGTTATGGTGTGTGGAATGGCATGCACTGGCTTACATTTTTATTTTTCTCTTAGTGAATTTTACATTATGCATTACTGGCCTTCTCTTATAATCCGTCTTTTTCAGCTTAAAGCTTATTTTTTTAGCCACAACAGTGTTTTTCTCTCACAACAAATCAGTCGGAACAGTGTTTCGACTTGTTTTTTCAGCGAAGCGAACGGGGCCACTATCTACCAGAGCAAAACCGGGCTTGCATTGTAGGGCTAAGAAAGCAACAAAATAGAAAGGGGTTTTCGTTAAAGCTTAGCAATATAATTTCCACTTGTTTAGGTGGATATATACACTCTTTTTCTTTTTGGTGAAAAGATGTGGATATACACTTGTGACTGCTAGCTTTACGTTAGTTTGCATTGTGATGTCGGATAGATTGTGTGTCAGTGAGTGCAAATCCAAGGTGTAAATGAAAGATGCAACACTTTTATCCGAGTTTTTTTAGGAAAAAAAAAACAAAGTTGCAACTAACTGAGATGGAGGTCGCACAAAAGTTTGAAGGAGGGGGTTTGTCCTAATCAATGCATGGCAACGTTATTTTACGTTAGTATGAGAAGCCAAAGCCGTCGTATAGCATTAGGCGGCCATGCTGCTAATGTGGATCAAATAGGTGTTTGTTAACAGGTGTGTTGGAGGAAGCTAATAGGTGATAATAGTTAGTATGTTGCTCTTTTTTAAAAAAAAGTGAGTATGCTACAATTAGCAGATATAACGACCGAGCCCTAGTTGGGGCCTATGATTAAGGATCGTGCCTCTCGGCCCGCAAAATACAGATTATTCTAGAGGGATCTCGAAGCATATATATGCAGGTCAAGGAGCTCAAATATATATCTTTTGGTTTCCACCATCTCAAGGTCAACTCTACCATGTTACATGTCCGGTGCAACTCCGAACACAAGGAAGCTCTAAGCAGCGTGCGTGCCGGCGGATTTTCAGCTTGTTTTTTTTTTTGCTAGAAAAATATTTTTTCTCTGACATCAAATCAGTCGAAACTGTATTTCGATTTTTTTTTAACGAAGCGAACATGGCGTTGTTATCTCATATATACGGAGTAGTACGTACCAGATTCCGAGATCAAGCCCTTCTCGAGGAGCTCTGGGATGGCGGCGACGACGCGGTAGCAGGCGAGCATCGCGGGCCAGAACCCGGCCACGGGCACGCCGCAGCGCACGGCGACGGGCACGGCCCACGACGCCAGCACGTCGACGACGACGCAGGCGACCGGCGGTACCCTGCGTGGCGGCGACGTCGTCAGCATGCGCTCCAGGTGCAGGGGCATGTGGTGCTCCATGGAATGCACGATGTCACGGAACCCCGGGGTGTCGTCGTCGCCAGCGGCGGCGTCCTGGGCGGCGATGCCGCTGGGGATGGACGCCAGCGCGACGCCGTCACCAACACAGCCGCAGGCTGTAGCGATGCGCCGGTGGATGAAGTCCGGTACGGCGACGGTGGGCGCGACGCCGTGCGCGGCAGCACGCCCGCCAGCTGCAGCATGGGCGTGATGTGGCCCTGCGCCGGGAACGGCACCAGGAGCACGGCCGGGTGGGCCACCGCCTCGGCCCCCATGCGCGCGTGCGATCAGCTTCTGTGAAGAACGAAGGCTACGTTGTCGATCTACGTGTACGACTGGACCTGCGCCACGGAGGCTTATACTCCTTTCTTCTCCGTGGCCTGGGTGGGATGGATTGCGAGGCCCAACGAACGCTGCGTCCGTGAGGTTTTATATGGCCGCCGCGCCTTGCCCCGCGCTGGCTCTCGCCCACTTTCCCGTTTGTCTAGGCGAGGAGCTGCCTCACTTTTTTTTGAGGGAGCTTGAGCTTTGGATGACGAATTCGCATGTACTCTCTCCGTCCAGAATAATATGCAATTTTAGTACAGTATCACGTTTTAGTATTTTAAATTTAATCAATTATAAATAAAAATATCAGTATTTATGATATTAAATAAATATTATTAGATTAATTGCAAAATATATTTTCATAATACATTGATTTAGAATCATAAAGATGAATATTATTCATTAGAAATTTAGTAAAAGTGAACTATTTTTTTAGCACGCAACTTATGGATGTATATTTTGACAGAGGAGTAAACAGTGTAGTAGCGGTGTCGTGTAGCATGGTCTACGTGTCATCCCCAGGTGATTCGAAGATTCGTCACGGGTTTTGGTGCAGCCGCGCATGATTTTTTTTTTTTTTTTTTTTTGTTGAAACAGCATAAAGAGCATGTTCGCTGGTTGATTTCTGGGCTGATAAGTCCAATTAATACTGATTTATTTTGAGAGAAAAATACTATTAGTTGACTAATAAGCCATAACCGAAACCCAACAGGCTGGAAGAATCAAAGCCACGGTCGCTCATTTTTGGCGGTGGATGGCCAAGGGCCCAAGGCCCCTTTTCGATAGATGTAAATGACCTGACTGTGTGGGTGAGCTGTTTGGTCTGGATATGACTTAGTAGTAGTTCGTTCCTAAAGAACTTCTGTAGTCTTTTTTTTTGTACCTGCACACGCGGAAGAAGGTAGTCAGTCGTTCAAAAACACGCGAACGCTAACAAGCTGACAAGGCAGTATGCAGTGGTCATTTTCTTTGGGTTGTGTCTGCATGAGGTGATTTACAATTTTTTTTACTAAACCATCAACCCATACCCCACTACACGGTCTAGAATTCTATACACTACTACTCCGTCCTATACAACAGAGTCGCTATAGTATTAATGTTGGTCAAACTTTCATGCGCTAACAAGCTGACAAGGCAGTATGCAGTGGTCATTTTCTTTGGGTTGTGTCTGCATGAGGTGATTTACAATTTTTATTACTAAACCATCAACCCATACCCCACTACACGGTCTAGAATTCTATACACTACTACTCCGTCCTATAAAACAGAGTTGCTATAGTATTAATGTTGGTCAAACTTTTATGAGTTTAACTTGATTTGTTAAAAATATTAGCAATATTTATATCTCTAAATAAGTTTATTATAATTATATATTCAACGAGCTATCAATGATACTAATTATGTACCATAAATATTAATAGTTTCTTATATATATTAGATCAAAGTTAAAAACGATTGACTTCTCAAGAAACAAGAATGACACTTTTTATGTGACAAAGGGGTACAAAGTATCAAATATTCAATGCTTGATTTAGTATATAAGACTAATTTAAATTAATTATTTTACTCTATATTCTTTTCTAACACAATACCTATTAATGGCCCCGTCCGCTTCGCTGAAAAAATAAGCCGAAACACTATTCTGGTTGATTCGTTGTGAGAGAAAAATACTGTTCCGGCTGAAAAAATAAGCTGAAAAGTACGGATTATAAGACAAGCGAACAAGGCCAATAGATATTGTATAATTTCTATTGGGTTATGATAAATTTACTAGTTATTCTATATTTGTTTTCATCATTAGCATTACGTCTCTAAGTGTTTTAATATATATTTAGTTAAAACTTTAGCTCACCTTGCGGCGAATAGGAGAGCGGAAGCACGGTGAATCGTTGGGAGTGAAAAACAGTGTGGATTGTGCAGAGCAGATTTCCTCTTCTTTGCGCGGTCGAAAAAGGGGAATCGCTAGCGATACCTATGAGGAGCAGACGATGACTTCGTTGTTGGTAGTGCTCCACTAAATTCTCGAGGAGCTTATGTCGAAAAATTGCACGATGTAAGCATGCTAAAAAGGATTAGTGAGCTCGACGCGTTAACCTGTCAATCTATCTATATCTTTTATAAAGTTAATCCTCACTATTACATGATCTATCTCAATATACAAAACATCCACATCATCTTTCACTAATAGCCATATCATGCCACACTAACTTTCAACCTCTTAATACAAACTATCCACGCCATCTCAAGTTATATCTCAACATACAAGACATCCACATCATCTTCCACTAATAGCCATATCATGCCACTAACTTTGAACCTCTTAATGCAAGTTATCCACATCATCTCAAGTTCTATATCAACATGCAAGACATCCACATCATCTTTACTAATAGTCATGCCATGCCACTAACTTCCAACATCTTAATACAAGCTATCCACGTCATATCAAGTTCTATCTCAACATACAAGACATCCACATCATCTTCCACTAATAGCCATGTCATGCCACTAACTTCCAACCTCTTAATGCAAACTATCCACGTCATCTCAAGTTCTATCTCAATATGTAAGACATTCACACATCGTCTTCCACTAATAGCCATGTCATGCTACTAACTTCCAACCTCTTAATGCAAGCTATTTACGTCATCTCAAGTTCTATCTCAATATGTAAGACATCCACATCATGTTCCACTAACTATCCACATCATATTTCAGTAACAGACATGCCATGCTACCGACTTTTAACCTCTTAATGCAAGCTATCCACGTCATCTCAAGTTCTATCTCAACATGCAAGACATCCACATCATTTTCCTCTAATAGCCATGCCATGGCACTAACTTCCAACATCTTAATACAAGCTATCCATGTCATCTTAAGTTCTATCTCAACATGCATGACATCCACATCATATTCCACTAACTATCGACAACATATTTCAGTAATAGATATGTCATGCCACTAACTTTCAACCTCTTAATGCAAGTTATCTATGTCATCTCTACTTAATTTTATTTTCAACTTTGCAATCTCCGCAACAAATATAAAAGGAGAGAACCAACAAATAAGGGGAGGCTCCAAATCCTCCACAAATATCTCAAAATCCCCCACAAATCTTTTTGTATTGATGGATTTGGTGGATCTGAGCTCCCTTTCTCTCATTGTCCCTAACCCTAGCTCTCTCTATTTCTCTGTTTCTCTCGTGAAAAGAACAGACACACGCAGGTGAGGGAGGCTCGGTTGCCCCCTTTGTGTTGTGTTGGTCACTTTTCTAAAGAGTCCTTGAGGTTGTGAGATACTCCAAAAGAGCCCCTCTTAATAGGAGCTATAATCACACTAGTGCATCTAGTAGTAAGTTTAGTGTAGAGGTTTTAAAGCGAGTATCCAGTAATATTACATTTTTACAAAGCATTTTATTATTCAGTTTCGATTCACCTTTTGTGTGCATACATATACAATCATGTCTCTGTTCTGCATTTATGCAGGACAATTTGCTACGAGATGGACATGCATTCTTCTAATCCGGCCGGACGAACGACCTCAACGTGTCAACTTATAAAATATAGAAAAAGGCACTATGATGCGTGCCATTGCCCGCAGGACCACCGACAGCCCCATCGAGTTGGGCTCGTTGAGGAGGAGCCTTTCACTTTGCCAATGCGAGTTACGGGAAATTGCCACATTATGAGGTCGGAGCTTGGATGTGCTCACTTGCTTAGGCACCACTGTGTGCCAACCACCGTCACTACTACAACACAAGGATATTGTAATATTTTATATAACATATTCATCAATGGGTTCTAATAAAATTTTATAGTAACACAAAATAGTGTGTTACATACTTCGGTTGTAACACAAAACACTTTTTTTATAAAAATGTGTTACTGACAATACTTATAGTAACACAAAATTAATGTTACAAGCAAAATGTTACAAAAGTGTATTATGTTGTAACACATAAATGGAACATATAAAATGTGTAACAAATATATGCCCTTGTTCCTAGGCTACATGCACATCGCACCCGAGTGTCGTCAAGGCTGTTAGGCAGTCACATCATGGTCATCACATGACAACCAAGTAGCAATGAGTAGGCGATTAAAAAGGTCAGTTTGATGCCAGAGCTGTTGTCAATTTATTAGGTCGAGCTCAAGACACTCTAGATGGAGCCATACACAAAGAAGAACAAGTACAATGGAGAAGAAAAAAATTGAAAAACATAAAACAAAAAATGTGAATTAAATGGGAGTAATATATATATTTTTTACGTTGTTGCCTGAACCCACTAACCTACCACTATATAGGTTGATCTAGAATTTCATCTTTTTGGTCACTTGAGTACCAGGTCAAATTTACAACACATTGTCATGTAATATTGTTTTATATGATCAAAACCTTAGTGCAAACGTTTTTTGTGGTTTTGAGTCTAACAAAAAGGCTATGCCAAAATAGTCATGTATGGCAGCCAAAAAAAAGTTTAATCAAATAAGTAATCACCAAGTAAAAAAATGTGTCAATGTTATAAAACGCATAGAAAGGCCACAAAAGAAGGCACATTTCAGTCTGGCCTTTAAATGATATTTGAGGCAATATGAAACAAGTGCCATCACAAATAAAATAGAAAATTCAAAAATAGCCTCCAACATGTTTTGTGGTAATATCCAGAATAC